ATTTTGTTCACAGTCCTTACAATTTTTGTTTACTTATCGCCCTGCCACTTGTGGGTTTCACTACTTTTGCCCAAACATCCACAACATTTCCCGTCGTCGCCAGTGGTAGCAAATGAGGATTGACAACAATAAATTCTTTTTTCAATTTCTTTTTGTGGTTATCAATCAATTTCGTTACCTCACGATCAAGTTTTTCTTCATTGTCGCTTTACATCGTCTCACACACGTGTCTTTCGAAGTGGTGGCCATTACCACCATCGCTACATCAGAGACGAGGGTGAGTGGCCAAGATAGGTTTGCTCTAAGAGAGCATTGGCTCAAGATGCTTCCAAACTTCAATTTTATTTGGTTTGCACCTGTCTAACTATTTTCCTTTGGTTCAATCGCTTCTTCAATCCAAGTTGCAGTTTTCACTTTCTTTCACTCAGTTTGATGATTTTACATCAGTTTTTTTCTGGTTTAGGGCCACTATTGGGCATTTTGAATGAGATTTGTGTGTTAGGGCTCAATATTTGTACGCAGCAAACATTGGGGATAAGTCTTGGTCTCTTGTGTTGGGAATTAATTGATCGTTGGGGACGAGAAACCAATCTTCAGATAAGAACTATCTTCGTTAAATATTCTAAGCCCTTGATTATGGTTTGTGATGTTACAATAGTATTTGTTCTCTAGGTTTCAGGGTTACAATTAAGATTTTGTTGTAGGATTGGACTAAACTTTGTGCAACTCATGGGAAAATTTGTGTTGCTGCTAGGAATCATTTGAAGTGATTTTCTTATTGGATAACATTCTTGTTTTAAGATGTTACGTATGCATGCATTATTTGTTCTGTGATTGTTGTGTTGATTGTGCATACATGGGAATAATGTTTTGAAACATCTATAAGATCTTGCATGTGTTGATCGATATAAGATGAGTGATATAACTTCACGCATTTGCTCACTTGTATGCATGGGACTTATTCCACGAAGGTCAAAGGATTTTATTCATAAGCTTACAGGCTATTCAGTCTTTGTTTATGGAAATTGATCATCAACTAACAGCTTAGATAATTAGGGTTCTCTAGGAAAATTGTAAGGACAATTACTCATTTGTGTCTATGGAAATTGGTCAAATTTTGAACAGTTATAAATTCCTTCATCTTATGAATTCATAAACCTTTTTATTTCAAGTAAAGGCAAAAGGTGTACCGAGGGTGTGACAAGAAAACTCGTTAGCTTGTCAAGGGTTTAGAGTCTTTATGCTTATTTATTTTGCTTCGAGAATTATTGTATTTAAGAACTCAATTCTGTATTTGTGACTATTTAGGATCTTAATGAGCTTTCTATTTGCTTAGGATCTGAATGAGCTTCCATTGTTTCTTATAAGATCTTTGTTTTGTTTGTTTCATACTTGGTGCACCTTTTTTTTTTTTGCCTAGCATGTTTGCCCAACCCATGTCAGACACACTAACCTTGCACCTTTTTTAGCTTTCTATTTGCTTAGGATCTGAATGAGCTTCCATTAGGTCTAGAAAGTCGGACCCTTGCACCTTTTTTTGCCTAGCATGTTTGCCCAACCCATGTCAGACACACTAACCTTTGTTGGACATGTGTTGGACACTTGGTGCAAAGTCAATACAGGTCAAACATTTGTTAGACATGTATCAAAGACTTGTTAAGTCTAGCATATACACATGAAAAATTATAGAGGAAAATACATCAAGCTCATATTTTTAAACATATAAATGTTTAACTTTGAATTTCTCTCTTAATTATAAAAGTGATGCATATTTTCGTAAACGTGTGTGTGTGTCCAATTTTTTTTTTAAAAAAGGACGTGTAGCATCGTATCCATGTCTTGTATCTATATCCGTGCTTCTTCTTAGAGGATGACTAAACAATATTCAAATAAACTAGATAATACAACTAACACTCCCTACACTCATATAAACAATGTAATATTCTCCCGTAAACAACAAAGGCAAGATTTTGATTACTGCAATTAGATGAACAATCTAATTCAACAGTAAATAAACATATTCAACAACTTCTCTCAGAAAATGAAACCAACACTCTAAGAAAATCTGACATTTCTAGTAGGAGAGCAAGGTTAATTTCCATCAGGAGCAAATGAAAAAAGAATAACTTCCTCCTACCATTTTCCATATCCTCTTGGTTAAATGTCCAGAAACAATTGATAAACAAACACTCTCTTCCTCTGTTAGTAAATGTAAATGGAGAAAAATGCTCCATGAAACAACAAAGGTCCACATCTAAGCAATTTTGAGAACAGAAAATCCAGACATAATCAACTTTAGCAGTGAATAAAGATATACAACAAAAAATTACAATTAGAACATGAGATAAACATTCTAAAAATACCAACTTCCCAAACGAACTTAATATGAATTAACAAAGGGATAATTAGATGTGTATATTTGCGGCAAGCAGAAGAAGCACAATAAAGCAATGTGTAGGAAATATGCCAGCTAAAACTCAAACTTTCTAGGACTGAATCCGCATTCACATATATGTTCCAGGTTACAACAACATAATTCATAAACAAGTGTAACTGCATGAAGATGGAATCCAACACAAATAATGACAACACGAAGATAAATACTTTCACAAGCACAAAATGTCCAGAATAAGGTGAAAATGAAACGCCTAAAAAGAAAACAGAAAAAACATAAATCAAGAGTGGATATTGACATAAAAAAATCACAAGGCGAGATAGTAAAGAGAGTCCATATTAGTAGTATCCAGAAGAAATGGTTTTGTTGAGAACTGCATGCTATTTGATGCACAATATTCACGCAGACAACAAGCCAGACCCAGATGATACTATAAAGCAAACTTTAACAAGCTAGGAAAAAAGAACACACTAAGCGTGAAATAACCAAAAAAACATAGATTTGCAGGTAAAACATGCGTGCACGGTAAGCCCGAATGCTGATAGCGATAAAACTAAAATTAGTAACGGAAGATCATACTGGAATTAAACACCGTCACGCAGAGGGGGAAAATCGAAGTAATAAGGATAACCAGAACACGGTATGGGGTATGATTTGACTAATATACCATCACACTTCATGCAGTAATTTACAGTATGAATAAAAACGAGAATACCTCAGTAATAAGGTGGCACACTGGGATACATTCCTCCAGGCGGAACACGTGGCGCCGGTGATGTTACCGCCTGTTGATGGAGCGGATTTGGGTGCCCAGATGCTGATGACATGCTATAATGCCCACTATCCGGATAACCACCAGAAGGCATTCCCACCGAACTCTGTGGCATCCTATACAGAGATGATGGCCCCCCGGTTCCGCCCAATCCACCAGCAGAACCACCCAAACCACCACCTACACTACCCATACCACCATAAATTGAGGACGCGGGACCGCCGTACCCACCACCATATGGACCGCCGCCATATCCGCCAGAGCTTCCCAACGAAGATGGAGCCTGACCACCGACAGAAGATAGACCCGGCCCCATTGAGGAGTTTAGCGGATGATGACCCAGTGCCTGTCCCCCTTGAACGCCACTAGAAAAGCCTCCATACGACCCCATGCCTCCCGGCCCACCATATTGTCCGCCTGAACCAGGCATTGCCGAAGGAGGAGCCATAGGCATGCCATCTCCATGCAAATTCCCTTGACCGGCCCCCGGCGTTTGAATTCCATCCTGCCCACCACCAGGTTTCCCTTTCTTCCCATCGTTAGCGAATTTACAGCTCAACTGCCTTCCATCAATCGTCTTGATTGGATCCACCAGAGCTGCCTGTGCCCCTTCTGGCTTCTTGTACACAAATAAAGCATAACCTCTGCACTTACCCGTCTGCTTATCAAATCCTAGCGGTCCCTCCTCAATTTCTCCATACAGCGAAAAGTGTGCCAACAGTTTATCGGCCGGCATATCCATCGGAACATTCGCCACATAAATTTTCCTCAACGACATGTCCGCAGCGTTCGAATTCTGCCCGGAAATTCCCACTGCAGCCAATTGCGTTACTGTAACACGGCCATCAATCGTCTTGCTCGGTTCCTTCAAAGCCAGTATAGCCCCATCAACATGCTTGAAAGTCACAAAGCCATACCCTTTCGATTTCCCGGTCGCCTTGTCAATAATAACAACCGCTTCTTCAAGCTCCCCATACGCGGAAAAGAGAGAGCGCAAACCTTCTGTACTTGTATCGCAACTAAGACCCCGAATAAACAGCTTCCGCTGGGAGACGTCTCGGTCAGCAATAGATCGAACCGCATCAAGGACATCCGTGTGACGCGAAACAGCATCTTGGAGAATATCGATAAGCTGGTCCGGAGTGAAACGATCAATGATCTTACGAGCATCATCGGAGGTAATTTTTAAGAAAGAATTTTCAGAGGAGTCGACGCCATTTTCTTCCATCCTCCGCTTCTTGGTGGCGTCCATGGCGGAGATGAGACGAAGAAGGAGGTCCCTGGAAGTGTAGAGTGGAAGTAGAAGAAGAAGAAGAACAAGAAGGTGAAGCTAAACCCTAATCCGAGTCTAGGAACGATGACCAAGACGAAGAGGATTGAAACGAATGGCGGGCAGTTGATTCTATAATGGTTTAATTGGGCTGGGCCCATAGCCACTGTCGGTGTCGGAACTTTTCTGGGCTCGTGGGCTTCTCAGAAAGCCCAATTAAGCCCTGATAAATTCTATAATGGTCTAATTGGGCTAGGCCCATGGCCAATGTCGGTGTCAGAGTTTTCTGGGCTCGTGAGCTTTTATGAAAGCCCAATAAAGCCCTTTTCATTTAAATTTTGATCAATTCTATATTTTGGGCCGTCGATTCTATAATGATTTAATTGGGCTGGGCCCATGGCCAATGTCGGTGTCGGAACTTTTCTGGGCTCATGGGCTTCTCTGAAAGCCCAATCAAGCTTTTTTTTTCACTCGCCAAAATAAATATAATTTATAAACTCTAGATTAAGGCCTTGATATAAAATTATAAATTTGAGTTTTTAAAAATTTATTGGGAAAAAGAGCGGCGGGCATTTGGTTTGAAGCAAGCAATGGTTTATACAAATTCTACCGCCAACCACAGTGGTTTCAGTGCCATTAGCGTAATTGAATTTTGCATTTTATGGGCATTGGGCTGTTGGGTCCTTCGGGTTTTTCTTCTGCGAATCCCTCTCGGACACTGACTCTCCGTCGCCGGTTTCTTCATCCGTCGCCACCTTATGGATTACCATTTCACTCGAATGCCATACATTCACATGTAAGTTCTTCTCCATTCTCTTACGTTTTCAAGCTCGCTGGAAGTTTCTTTGTGTAGGTTTAGCGAAATTTTGTATCGTTTTTCTGTTTCCCCTTGTGAATCTGTAAGTCTCGGCCAGATTAACATCTCTGAATTAGATTGCAAGGAAGTGGTCATATTCCTTCAGTTTTTTTAAAATTATTTTGCGTGTATTTGTCAGTGATATGTGTTAAACCTAAAATAGATCATAATTGTATATACTAAAATAGTCTAAGATTTACTAGTTGTTATGATTTTGAAGATAGTCTAAGATTTACTAGTTGTTATGATTTTGAAGAGTTTGTTACCAAATCATAGATTTGGAAGGTAATCTTCATTATACTCATCTATAAATACATAAGGTCGTGACCCAGATAGGTTATCGTGCCATTCAATCTAACAATGTGAATCAATAGACTCTACTGCATTTAGAACCTTATTTATCTTCTTCGATTGATACTAATGTACTTTAAGTATTAAGATAATTTGCAGTCCGGAGGGAAACAAGACTCTAAAAAGTACTAAAATCTTATGAATCTAAAATTTGAATGCTGTTCTTCTTTTAAGAAATGAAAGGAAAAACATAGATGTTACAACTTTCTTTTATAAGACATACTTATCTTATTGCGTTTCTGAATGTATAACAGGAAATTATTAGGTGCAACATTATCTGTTAATCTTGCTCCAAATTCTGCTATCTGGAAGACTTTCTATTACCCAGTTGCCAACGTCAATCTTCCATCAAATTTGATGCCAATGAATCAGCAGATATCTATATGCAGGAATGATTCGTTATCTTCTCCTTCCAATGTCTTCAACAGAACAAATTCTTCCCAGTCCTTGCTGTTCATTGTTGCTGAGGGTAGAATTTCCAACTCTGGTGAGTGCTACAAGTCTAAATGTTCCTCAGGTTCCTTTGAGAAGCAGGTTTCGAGCAGAAATATCGGCGATGACGATTGCCCAGAAAATCATGAAACTGAAAATGACAAGGAGTGGCAAAGACGAAGAAAAATAGGAGTGGCAAATAAGGGCAAAGTACCATGGAACAAGGGCAAGAAACACAGCTTGGGTAAGAACATTTAGTGGGTCCTCTAGCAGTGGTGAATTTTAAGTGGCTAAGGTTATACTTGGTGGAGTTTGGGATTTTAACATATAATTTATCTGCAGAAACTCGTAAGCGAATCAAGCAGAGAACAATTGAAGCCTTGAGAAACCCCAAGGTGAGGTTCACATTTCAGGCTGATTCACCAGTCATATTCTGTAATTTCAACCTTTTCATTTTTCTTTAATATTTCAGGTGAGGAGGAAGATGTCCGAATATCCCCGCCCCACTCATAGGTTTCACTCTTAACCCTTCACTCTTTTATTTCTGAATGCCGAAATGAACTTGAATAACAGAAGATTTAACATCAGATGCTTTCAGATTTTGTTGGATATTTTAGTGAAAAGCAAAGATCTTTTGTAGCATTGTCACTTTATAGAGTTAATATGAAGTTTTATGTAAGAATGAATTGTAAACCTTACAATCTACTTTCAAGATCTCTTATAAAAGGGGAAAAATAGAAAAAATCCTGATTTTGGATCTGGCACTGAAATCATGAACAGGCTGTGGGCGAAAATGCTTGACTCTTATAGTCCTAGAATTGATGTCATTGGCTCCCAAATTTCAACATTTAGCACTTAACCATGTGGAATTAATAATCTCGCATATGTTCAACATTCCTCAGAATTTTACTGTCTATTTCAGTTCTTTGTCAGGAAAACTTATTATTTTGAGGGAATTTCCTCGTTATCAAGTGGAATTGTTCAGCTTGACGAGGCAAATCTCGTCTGTTTATTAGGTATAAACATGCTATAAGATACAGTCGTGCTTTATTCTATTTGCAGTGATCAGGTCAAAACCAAAATTAGCTCCTCACTCAGACGTGTATGGGGAAAGAGATTATTGAAGAAGAGATTAAACGAGGCGTTCTTCCGGTCTTGGAAGGAAAGCATAGCTGTTGCTGCGAAGAAAGGAGGGAAGGAAGAACAAGAACTTGACTGGGACAGCCATGACAAGATAATACAAGAAATGCTTCATCAAAAGCTTAAAATGGTTGAAGAGAAGGAAAAATTAAAGCTGATGAGAGCAGAGAATGCGAAAAAGAGAAAAATCCAAGGAAGGGGTGCCAAAATAAAGAAAAGGAAAATGCGTTCTAGAAGAAGAAATGGAGGAAAAAGAAGGATGAAAGAGGGAGAAGACGTCCAGAGAACGAAGAAGGAGCTAACTGCAATTGAAAGATCGAGACTTAAGCAAAGATTGAAGAAGGTAAAGATCAGGGAGGTCCTGTAGATTTACTTTAATAGTTTGACTGATCCACTAAATGGATCAAAATGATAGCATGCAATGGAACTGATCTATAACAAAGGCCAACCTACCATAGCTACTTGGAGATGTAAATTTCTAGGCCAGCCTTCATTTTAATCTGTCAGCCCTATGATAATGATGTTCTTATTATGTTTTCATGTCTTCTATTAAGGTTATCCTCTTTCACTTACCTGTTGATTAGATTCGCAAAAAGATTGCAATAAACGGTGTAGTTGCTGCTCAAGGAAGCGTTGCATCAGTGGTGCCCCGAGGCACAACCTGGGAAAAAATGGATCTAGATCTTATAAAGAAGGGTAAACTGAGGGAAGAAGTGTCGCTGGCAGATCAAATTCAATTTGCCAAGAACAGAAAGCAGAATCTATAGCTTGCAAAATTCTTGTAGCTTCTATTTTGTCGTACGGATGCACCAGGGGAGCGTAAAGATAACTTTTGACTGACCTTCACTGCTTGCAAGAAGAAAATTTTCTGGTGTCTGAAGGTGACTTTTCCTCCCATCCAAGGTGATTTTCATCACACACACACACACACACATTTATATCCATTGGAGTTACAGAATCTTGTTCAATTCGACACGAGTAAAAAGGCTGCTACAGCTCACGAGCTTTTGATGACTTGAAGAAAGGTAGTGAGAAGAAGTTGAAAAGTTTTACTTTGCAGGATGGATTCTGATAAGCGATCGAGCAAGAGCTCCACGTCCATGGCAGCAGATAGATGGCTTGCCTTTTGCTCTGCCTGCTTCATAATTGCGTGCGGGTATGTAAAGATACTAAGTTACTTGATGCAATTCTGAATTCAAATTTTTCCTCGAATTTTCTTCTTTAGGAATTGATAAAATATCTCAAAGTTAAGGTGGAAAAATAATTCGAATTGTGATTCAACTAGAAAAGTTTAAAGAACTATTGCCATTGCCATACCAGTAAATGAACCACAATACAGGAGAGTTGAGGGGGGCATTGTTGCAGGAAAATGTGGCCAAATGAGATTGCCCAAAAACAAAGATGACATTGTGAATGTTATTACATCATCTCATGCATCTTTGAAACTATACTACTACCCACAAAGCAAAACTAAACTCATGGTTTGCCGCAGTAGTACCTGAACAAATACTCAGTGGCCAGAAGGATTTGAGGTTTGAACCAAGCAACAAGTAAGAATCGAAAGAAAAAAAAAACTAAAGAATTCTGCTACTTTGAGACTTTCCTGAACAGTTGATGACTATTCCCGTTGATTGTTATGCACATTCCTAGACCACCCACCAGCATTAGGCTGCATCTCTCTATAGCTGTTTTGAGCAGGTGGCCCACCCGTGTTTGAAGCTCCACCATAGTAGTTGGACGGTGGTGCTCCCCAATGGTTGTTTGGCTGTGGCTCTCCAGAGTTGTATGGTGGTGGTGGTGGTGCCCCGGAGTTGTATGGTGGCGGTGGTGCATAGTTGTGCGGTGGTGGTACGCTAAAGTTGTTTTGCGGTGGTGGTGGTGGTGGTCCGCTAAAGTTGTTCTGTGGTGGTGGTGGAGGTGGTCTACTAAAGTTATTCGGTGGTGGTGGTGGAGGTGGTCTACTAAAGTTATTCGGTGGTGGTGGTCTACTAAAGTTATTCGGTGGTGGTGGTGGTCCACTAAAGTTGTTGGGTCGTGGCGGTGGTGGTCCGCTAAAGTGGCTTGGTGGTGGTGGTGGCGGCGGCGGTCGGCTAAAGGTGTTGGGTGGTGGCGGCGGTGGTCGGCTGTAGTTGCCTTGGGGCATTCCATCATGATTGCGAGGTGGCATATTACTTGGAGCTGTTCCTGAAGTAGGTGAAGCATTTGGGAATTCTCTGTTCCGGGTATGTTCCCTCCTATTGAAATTTCTTGAGCCGTCTGAATTACGCCTATTCCTTTCATTTGCTCTAGCATTGTTTCTTACCCATTCCTCATGGTACTTCGGGTCATATGGAACAGCCTGACCATTTATAAAAGGCTCCCCTGCCAAAAATGAAGAACATCAGATAATAGTTTTAGCTTTATGAATTCGCAAGAAATAAGAGCTGTCCAATTTTGCTCGTCTGGTGTACGGAACAAACACATTAGGATTAGAGTTTCCATTCAAATGCTCCTTTTGCTAACTGTCCAGGAGGAGTGCATTCTAATCTCATGCACAGTTCTTACCTGAATGAAGCATGATCCTAAACCAACAAACCCACTCGTAATAGCTCAAGTCCATCACTAGTAGATATTGTGGTCTTTGGGTCCTTTTGAACTTTTCCTCAACGCCGCTAGCAGATATTATCCTCTTTGGACTTTCCTTTTAAACTTTATCCTCTTTGGACTTTTCCTTTTGGACTTTTCCTTTTGAACTTTCACTCAAAGTTTTTAAACGCGTATGTTAGAGAGAGGTTTCCACACCCTTGTAAAAATTACTTTGTTCCCCTCTCCAACCAATGTGGGATCTCACAATAACTCGCTAGAGAGAGGTTTCACACCCTTATAAAAATTAGGTTTCCACACCCTTATAAAAATTACTTTGTCCCCCTCTCCAACGCTAGAGAGAGGTTTCACACCCTTGTAAAAATTAGGTTTCCACACCCTTATAAAAATTACTTTGTCCCCCTCTCCAACCAATATGGGATCTCACAATCCACCCCCACCCCCTTCGAGACCCAACACCCTCGCTGGCACTTGTTCCCTTTTCTCCAATTAATGTGGGATCTCACAATCCACCCCCCTTCAAGACCAAGTGTCCTCATTGGACACCGCCATAATGTCTACCACCCTTTGCGGCTCAGCATTCTCACTAGCACATCATTCGATATCTAGCTTTGATACTATTTGTAACAGATCAAACTCACATCTAGTAACGTAGTCCTCTTTGGGCTTTCCCTCAAAGTTTTTAAAACAGGTTTCCATACCCTTATAAACAATACTTCGTTCCCCCCCCCCCCAACC